CCTAATTGCCACGTAATGAGCACGGATGATGTAATCGCGGCAATTAATGACGTGGGCGTGCACTGCCAAGCCATCATCGTGATTATCACGAGAGCTGCTAGTTTTAGTACGCATTTGGCCGCGTAGTCGCTACGGACTATAAATACTATGATGACGGGTTCAAGCCAGAATACAAAACCCCAGACCAATAGATGTCCTGTTCTAGCGATCACATTCTCCTCCTCTGAACTGCGCACACCTATCGGACAGGCCTTCTCAAATAACGGAAGTCTTTGCCCAGCATCGGAGAAGTGCAGACAGTTGGTTAAATGGTTGATGAGCACAAATTCCATTGCTGCAGCTTCTGAAGCTGAAGCACCTTAAAATGTGCCTACTGTAATCATTTAAGTAGAAGTAAACAAACTATCAAAACTCACCCGGAGGGATTCTTCTCCAGTTCGTTCAGTAAGGTGTGATCCACGTACTGGAAGACCAGGTGAAGCCGTTTCTTCCGCTTGAAGACTTCTATGAGATTTATTAGGTTGGGGTGTTTGAGTTGCTGTCCAAATAATGGAAGAGGAGCGGTCAGTTGACACTCAATATTATAGCCACTGATAATACAAGAAAGTTCAATCAGTCACCTGAAGCCATCATGAATGTGAGAAATGTAATAAATTTTAATACACCCACGAGGTTCAGCAACTGTCACTGCAATTTAGGCGATGTCCAAACAAACACTTTGCGGTTCGACAACGTAAGGCTTGTGGCTCATCGATTTTGCGCTAGTATACCAGGAAAAAGGGTTGTTGTTTCATATGGAAAACTCCTAACCGTGTATTGGTACACCTAAATGAAAGATATTCATCCTTACGTAGTCTACCGCTCTATTTGAGTACACGTAAATGGTAATCCTTAAAATAGCCCCTTAAAGTATACACCTAGAGTCCACACTTGTTCAAATGGAATCGCAGCAGTGATTCAACATTTGGACAAGTGAGGCAACTATTTTTAATGTTTCTTCGACAATTATGAGAGGAATGACGGAAAACTGACCCGACAGGGCGTGCATAGCACAACAGTACTAACCTTCAGCGTGCGTATCTCACGCATTGCTATCCGGTGGATGACAGGATCTTCTTCGGACTCGGTGAATTTCTTGATAGCCACCAATTCGCCGGTGTCTCTGTTGCGGCATTTGAAAACCACCCCATAGGCCCCCTCACCGATTCGTGAAATTTTCTCGTACCGGTCCATTATTGAGGCGCAGCCGGCGCCCACACTGCAAAAAATGAAGAAAAATTGCCACTGTAAACTACTACTTCTACGCAAAAATATGTACGACCATCAGGAAGTAAAAAGTGCTGTTGTTTAGGGATTTACGCCAAAAAGGTAACACTGGGTTAAAAAACACTCACCGTTTAGATCACGGAATTGTAAAGCCCTAACCAATCAACGAATTCTAGTTCGAAGTTTATGTTTTGCGATTGGATAGGACAACGGTTTGGGGACTTAGTGTAGAGCTTCAGATTTAAAACTACCAAATGACTAAAGAATCGGTGGGCTCGGATCTCTGGTGACCCAGAACTT